TTTACTCATCGCTCTAGTCTTTGAATTTTCCACCATGTGCATGCTGGTCATCAGCATTCCACTGCCACGACGCTTCTGCAAATAACCCAGCCTCTTCCAAACTAAACCAGAGCAGCAGCCCTCACACTGTCCTCCGACTCCCCTGGATCCAAGAAACACTTCGACTCACTTTCCTCCGGAATGCACTTTGGAAGTGGCTCTAGAAAACACTGGGGAACACAGGACGGCTGACCTATTTATGGACAGAGGTGAGTCAGAAGGCACGGTGAGGTGGGAATCCCCCATTTAAGTGTATAAAAGACGCAGACGCCAATTTGGAAGGCCCCAAGTATTTTGGTAAGGAGCCTCAGAGCTGATCCTGGTCTACTCATATTTTATTATCTGTTTCTCCTGTATGCAGGGTCTGCTGTATTGTAATTTACTCTCGATAGAGCGGGATAAGACCCAAAATTTGGGCCAACATTATTTGAACTTATCATACATGTTTTCTCTCAGCCAGTAATTATATTTCATTGATAAAAAAGATCTGGAGGAAAATATGGTGTGGCTGAGGTAGCTCTGGGTGGCACAGTCGTTGAAGCACTGAGACCCATTCTGTCCGAGGTTCAGACCCACCAGCTGTTCTGTAGGACAAAGACCTGGTGCAGAGTTTCCATGAAGGGGACAGCATTGGAAACCCTGTGGGGCAGGTCTACTGTCTTATCAAATCCCCGGGCTATCGGATGTTGCTGGCCGAGAGATCTCACTTTGGGAATCACTTGTCTTGTACCGAGAGGAAAGAGCTATCTTTGGCATGTGGTTATGGTGGGCTGCCTGAAGGGCATGGCAGCTGTCCAGCCAGGACGGAGTTTGTCACTCTCTCCAAACGCTTTCTCCAGACGCCTGCCTTCCATTTAGACACTGCCGCACTTCCGCTGCCGCATGCAGGGACTCCGTTTGCATTCAGGGCACATTTAACAGGGGTGAAACAATTTCTGTGTAGACCGGTTGGAATGCTTAAGGCAAGAGCTCCGTTACTTGACCAACTTCCCTTTTCTGTATTTTAGCATCTGTACATAAATTTGTCATTAGCGGGCCACTTCTAAAAGTCAACCATACCTTATGGTGTCAGTACAATGACAAAGCTAATTTTATATGTAGTCTTGTTTTGAAGCTCAGAGAGACCTCATGTTCTAGTCAGAACACCAGTCTTGGCAAGAACACCCTTAAAAAAAGTGTTGACAGCCCCAGGGAGGTCTGCCTGAGGTGGAGAGGAGTGGAACCCAGCACACTCAAGGATCAGAGGCTGGCAGCGACCCTGTTTTCGGTGCCACCACTAAGCCCTGATGACTGGGGCTGGTTTAAGGATAACTTGTCACTAAGCCAGGAGGGTTACTGAACACCTTCTTACTGCAAAGCACAGCCCTCCAGCAAGCAGTTTTATATCAACTAAATCACTGACAAAAATTCATTTTCTTTCCATTCCTCCCCCGCCTCGGAAAAGAAAAGACTAGTTACAAGTTGGAGCCACTCCAAGTTCTGGGCCAGCTGTGGAAAGCCTGGGCCGGCGGACGACCGTGCACAGTGGCGGAGGAGAAAGACCACCACGGACGGCACTAGCTGTAGCACAATTCAAGTTTATTCCATTTGTTCTTGCAACACAAAACTGAAATACAGTATTATTTAGCATTCGGATGTACAGGAGCTAGTAGTAGGATAATAGAAGAATTCCAATGGTGTCAAAAGTATTACAGGGCGGGGGGAAAAGGAACCCAAAACATACCAAGATGCACTAAGCACTACGTCTCCTCCCATCACTGCCTAGAAAGATGTGATTGTTTCTCCATTGACAACGTAGAACCAGGACCATCTGAAGTCTCTGAAACTCTGCATGCAAAACACTGCAACTGCTCATGTGGGAAGGCTCTCCCCAGCCGCTTCTCTACATGACCACGTGGGCTGCGCTGCAGGCGAGACGCAGCTGGCCAGTTCAAAGTTTGTCGTCATCAAGAAAACAAACTCAAATAGGGATACTCAGCTTTAAAATTCACTATCTGGGGAAATGCAAATCAAGGGCTTACCTGCTCGGGGCTTCCACCCCTCAGCGCCCTGCGACCCCAGGGCCCCAACAGGCCAGCCACCTGCGTGTCCTGGGAGAAGTCATGGCTACAAGCAAGTGACTGGATAGAAAACTAGAGAATGAACATGCAAGGTGTTGCTGCCAGGTTTGGGGTCAACTTTCATGGAGAACAAAACGGACTTGACCTTTCCTAATGCACAAAGCACCCAAAAAGCAGGTGTGGTTTTAGCTCCTTTTACTCAAAATATGAACAATATAAGTGTTGTGAATGTCTCTGCCAAGTGGTTGAGAAATACATTATAAATAACCTAGTTTTCAAAAAAGAGAGAGAAAATGGTCAACCACCTTGGTCAGTCTAGTCTACTCTACGCGTCTATGTTATTTTCTCAAGCAAGGCTCCAGAAGGAGGGGCTTACACCATGGCGGAGAGCCAGGAGGAAAGGTGAACCAGCCTCTGCGTGGGGCACAGCCTCGGGGAAAGTGGGCAGGAGCCCAGGGCGCTCGCAGCTTGGGCGGGGGAGCAGGCCAGGGGCAGTGATGGCGGAGGACGAGGCCCTCTCTGCACCGCCAATTCCAAGAAAAGGTGTTGAACGTGCAGGTGGAGGTTGTGTAGGGGTCAAGGTTAAGCTACTTCTACATTGTATTGTTAGACCAAGAGGCAAAATCCAAATTACCACAGCCCCTGCTGCACAGCCTTGGTATTCCAGACGGACCGAGGGCCTTCCACTGTCTAAGGGGCGGTCTCAGGGGCATCATGGAGCAAAACCAAACCCATTGCCGTTGAGTTGATCCCTTACTCCAACTCGAACCGGCTCCTCTGGGCAGCAGAAGGCGCAGAATGTAAGAAAGCCGTTAGCTACTCTGCCGTTTGGTGATTGTTTCCTCAGAGTCAGGGGGATCATAAGGTCAGGGCAGTTAAGTGAAAAAGCCACGGGGTAAAAAAGGTTCCTGGAGAACACAAGCACACGCACACTCACGCACACACGCTCACTCTCTCTCACAGCCAACCGTCCCATCAGCCACTGGCAACTACCAGCTGCCTTCCCAGGCTGACTGCTCTCGCTCACCACCAAACCCTGCGTGCGGCAGGACGCTCCTGTGCTGCTAACACGCACCCTCATCTTCCTCATCATCCGCGCCACATACAATCCCTCTCCCACCCGCCCACCCCACCCCCTTAAAAATTTGAGGTACATTCAATTATTGCATGACGACTGGCTAGGCACCCCCCTGCTGGCCTCAGGAGGCTCCGGCAGGGGCGGGGAAAGCATCGGGCATGTCGTCATGGGCTCTGCAGCTTGTGGGAGGAAGATGCGGAGAAGTGTCCCAGGAATTTCTGCAAGAACACCACTTTAGGGCACTGTATTCTTAAGAGAATACAACGGGAAGGTGTCACACTGTCTGCAGTACATGCTTTTTAAAAGAAACAAGAACACAGTATGCAGGTGGGTTGGCAGATGCTCCGGGGAGCCCCGCAACCAGGCAGGGAGACCTGGTTAAGAGGCATCATTTTAGGGTGGGGTCCAATGTGTCCCAGCGGTCAGGCTGAGCCCAGTGATAGCTTTGGTGCACAGCGTGTTCAGCATCCAAGCCGGCTCTGAGAGCCACCACACCCAGTGAGCTCGGCCCCTCAGAGCAAATGCAGGGCCCACGGGCACTCAGACAACGGCTCCCTTCCTGTGTGACACCAAGAAGCTATGTCTGCGGCTCTTTCTGAAGACCCTTTACTGCCAGCAGCAGTCTGAAGGGCTGTCAGGGTTACCCCAACGCCTGTGCCTGGACAGCGAGCTCCCCAGCCTGGAATGGTTTCCCTGCAGACTGCGGACATGGACGGCTTTGATAAGTGACCAGAGTCGGCTGGACCTAAGGACACGCATGATCCTGGGGGAGGGGGAGGAGGAAGTGATCTGAAGCAGTCTTCAGCCAGGTTGGGGGTAGGAGGGTGGGGGCCCTCCTCACCTGACTGAGCCTACAGTCCTGGGGGGGAGGCCTGGTCACCACTGCGCTGGCGGTCCCCAGTGGTGTGCACCCTTAAGGCAGAAGGCTAGAGTGGGTTGCAATCCCAGCACCCAAGGTTTACCCCCCCAAAGCCATGCCTATTTGCACAGGGCGTAGACCCCTACCACTGTGAGCCAGGGAGCCAGGAGGGTCCCGGGTGAGTGGCCTAGCTTGTCTTTGCTCCCCTGGGGGCTGGCTGGGGGCATTAGAGGAGACAGAAGGGGCAGGCTGGATCAGGAATCCTGGTCAGGGCCCCGCCTGCCGCCGCAGGCCCTTTGGTTCCCCCGGGAGGCTGACTGGTTTGGAATGTCCTTCTTCCTCCCCCTGTGGAGAGTGTTTAGTGAAGAAGCTGGAGCTGGCAGAGAGAGAGTGACAGACAGACAGGAGCAGTGTGAGGCCACAGGGTCGTCCTTGTCCTTCAGGACCGCCAGTCCAGGCCCGTCACTGCAGCAGCGCCCGGATGGCCTGGTTGTCAGTGGCTTCGAGGGCTGTGAGCCCGTCGGGGCCCTTCACAGTCTTGTCAGCGCCCTGGGAGGAGAGGAGAGAGCCGTTAGCACACACCCGCGTACATGGCTTAGGCCACAATTCCTTGATGAATGGAACCCATTCTACCGAAGGAAAAAGACAAAGCCCGGAAGGCTGTGGCCGGGCTGTGGGAATGACACCATTTTCTGAGGGTGCGCACGTGTGCCCCAACATTGCAAGCTCTGACTGGTGCACCCGTTTGTTTCCCCAGGCCAACGAACCAATCCAAGGAATATAGCTTTCCCCCATCTGTCATGTAAACTGGGAAGAAACATCACACTTGCTAAAAATATTTTGCGATAATAATGTTGACAAAAAGATTTTTTCCTTCTCCCGCCACTCTGTAGGAAGTGTCTGACTGCACCCATAACCCCAGAGCTCACACCACCCCTCCCTTCTAGTGTGGACAGGCTTTCCAAGAGCATGCACCCGGCCCCAGCACAGGGCCCCCACGCCCAGACTGCCCGTGCTGCCTTGTACCATTTTTCGGGAACAGGATGTGCCCCTCAGTGGCTAGTCATGTCCCGGTTCTTCTTTTCTAGAATGCACAGGGCGAGGGTGCAGGAATCATCTCCTTGGAAGCAACTCACCGTCTTGTCCCAGCACCCAGCCAAGTGCCTGGGGCAGCAGGGGCTCCAACATTCAAGCCAGCTAGGTTTTGCTCCCCTTCCAGGCTGTGCCCCTCTAACTCCCAGCGACAGACAGCCACATTCCCCACCTGAGATGATACCACCCTTGTGGTAGTTAGGTTCTGTGTCAGATGGCTGGGTCAGGATGCTCAGTGGTTTGGTGGTTGAGGACCCCATGATATGACCTAACACAATGTAATCAATTTCCATAACGGGATCTGCTGAGTAGCCAAGCAGTTGTTAAGAAGATTCGAGTGCAGAGCAAGGCCTTACTAAATCGCAGCTCTCGTGTAAGTTAAAGGACATTTCCTCTGGAGTATGGCCGACTTCCTATGTTAGTGGACACTACAGGAGACCTGCTTGGTTTTTTGTTGTTGCTGAGTCTGGATGCTGCATGTCTCATCAACCTCAGTTCTTTGGACTTGAGCCAGCAGCCTGCCATACTGCCCGCTGACCCAGGATTCATCCACCTCTGCAGCCTGATGTCTTCCTACAGATCTTGGCTTCGCCTGCCCATGAAGCTGGGAGAGCAGGAGACCCCTCTAATACTTGGCCATTTTCTTGGTCTATGTTTTTTTTGCCACTGGTGTTCCTTCTCTAAAGGACCCAGCACCCATCAGCCTCTCCCCCAGCAAACGCCCTGCCATGGGGTCAATTCTGTCCCCACGGGACAGAGCAGAACTGCTCCATAGGTTTTCAGGGCCGTAAGTCTTTATGGAAACAGACTGCCACATCTCTCTCCCTCTGAGGGCTGGTGGGTTCAAACTGCTGACCTTTTGGTTAGCAGCTACACACTTAACTTCTGCTCACAGAATGAAGTCTAAAGCTGTATAAAATGGGGCTTTAGAGTCCAATGCTACTCTAACGCATCTGTCTCTCCTCCCAAGAGTCTTTCGATGTTCAAGTCCTATGGAATTTCTCAGACCCCAGTACTGGCCAGGCACATACATGCCTGTGTCATTCTGGGCTCTGTGGAACACCTTACCCTTTCTCTGCGGCACACCCATTCATTCAACGAATATCATCAATGAATATTTGATGTGTCCACATTGTGTAGGGAAGGCTGCAGCCAAAGAAAGGGGCCACAGGTCCTGGTGGGGAACACATTGTAGAAAGAGGCATGCACAGGGGCCACGGCAGGGTGGGATGTAGAAGGTGGAACAGGGAGAAGTCTTTCCTGATGAGTAGACAAGCACTGGTTGCCTTTTAGCAACCAGAGTTCGTCTCCCTTCTCTTGATAACAGCATACCAATTTCATGAGGAGGAGTTACTTTTCTCTACTGGGGCATCCTGGGGCCTAAAATCCCACCAAGGGTCCGGGACTGGCCTGACTATAGGCGAGGCCCCATGGGCGTGCACTCCTGGGTTTGACTTCTTGGATGGAGAGAAGAGAACGAGTTCAAGCTCATCGACTCCCACTGCGAGATGACAGGTTCCTGCTACCCAGAGGCTCATACATCCTTGGTTTGCTTGTAGGCCAGCTTTCTGTTCTACTTGTTAGTGCCGATTTCTGTTACTTACAAACCCAAAATCCTAGCCTCGCTGTCCCCAATGAATTTATTCAACCATTCTCTTTTTCTAATGACAACACAAACTCAACACAACACAGAGTCAAGAAACACATTCGTTCCACCCCAGATGTAAGTGGTGTGAACTTGGGTGGTTTCTTCTCCGTGTGCCAACCACCAGAGAGCCTTTTAGAGTGCGGTCGGTGACCAAGCGCTCCTGGAGGGTGGCGGGGTTGCTACGAGCAAGTGGGGTGGCCCCAGTAGTGGCCATGGTCATTCCAGGGGTGGGGTCACAGCTCTAAGGCACTCCATGTACTGATACTCAGAACTCATAATTTTAGAGATTTTAGTACTATTTGTGGTACAATACAGAATATTTCCTTAAAAAATTGATGTCATTCTCTTTCAGCTTTTAAATACATTTTAATATAGCCCAGAAAGATAAGATACACAGGCCAGAAACAAGAACATAATCTTTCTTTGATTTGTTAATTTATCTACTTCCTACTTCAGATAGTCTTATCTGCTTTGTACCATCAGCTTGCAATATGTACGATCAGGCCAGGAAAATTGGACGTAGTGTTTTGTGAATGACACCCCTAAACTGGTAATAAAGTTTATCTGACATTATCTTGACCCAAAATGGCTTTCCTCTGGGGGTGACCATGCTGATGCTGATCTTTGTTATAGGGGCCAATTGTCAGAATAGCAGCTGCTTGGTTTCAATGCAAAATGTGCAAAATCAATGCAAAAATTAGCACTTCAATATAGGACCAAGCATATGGTATGCCAGATACCATTAATATTCGACAGTCTACAATAATGATTGAACTAAATATACTGTTTCCACTTATAATCTAAGATTAAAGCTGTTTTATAATGGTTTTAAACTTTCTTTCAATTTCTGGGTGATGTGGTTTTCATCATCCTGGAGTATCCGGTCTTCTATTCCGTGTGTTTTAAAGAGTTTCTATTTTTCCCCAGGAGGCTGTGTGGTCATCTTTAAATAGCAGCATATACAGGTAGGAACCCTGGGGGCACAATGGATTAAGCACCAGGATGCGAACTACCAGTAGGTCAAACCCACTGGCCATTCATTCCAGAGAAGAAAGCTGAAGCTGCCTGTTCCTGGGAGGGGCACAGCTCCCGGATCCCTCGGGTCAGCTCCAGTCTGTCCTACAACCCCAGATGCCTGTCCTGTAAGCACTTACCAGGAGAAGCTGCAACCTTTCAATAAGTCTGCACTTGTGCAGCTGCCAGGGCACTGAGTGACCTGTATCACTGGGGGTGTGGTGGTGCCAAAACAAAGCGTGCTCTAGATTCCACCCTCGTGGTGAGGGGGCCGGTTTGCTGGAAATGCAGCCATGCTCACTTGCTGAATTGTCAATGGTGCCTTTGGAACGGCAATGGCAGTTTCAAGGTAGAGGCCAGACGGCTGGCAAAGTTTGGACTACCTACCATCACGTCTGTAAGAAGGGGCTTCCTGAGCCCCTCGCTTTTTGCTGTCAGTGCTGTCGAGACGGTTCCGACTCACAGTGACGGCACGTGCAACAGAAAGAAACACTGCACGCACGCATGGACTCATCCGTTAAAAATAACTTTCCTCTCACTGTTGGCCACCATGGGACACGATGGCGGGTCGGCAGGTCCCAGTCTTCTGTGGAAGGCCTTGTCCCTGCACTGCTCGTGTCTGCCAAATCCCTACCACAAGCCCTCCTTTACCCACAGGAATGCCGCAGCTTCTCACAGCCGTCAGAATCAGTCGTCTGAAAGGGACTGAACCTCCCAAGGCAGAGAACTGTCTCGGCTACAGAGGAGGTGAAAACACCTGCGGACCCAGGGGCGATAAGCTAAAGGAGATTAATATGCACAGCATGCTCAGCACATACTAGGTTTTCTGTAAATGCTAAGGTGCCTCTTTTTCTATAAAGAATTAAAATCTCTCCTTGTTTCATAACCTTCTCACCTTTCATTGCATTAAGTTGAAATCAAACAACAACAAAAACTTAACAAGCAAGTAATACGCATATTACAATTAAGGATTTCCAAAAGAGCACAATTCAATATCCCAAACAAATCTGGCTAGTAAAACTGCAATAACAAAAGCACACACCCCCTCCTTTGGGGAAAGCAGCTCTCTTCTCCGCTGTGTCCAGTCAGGCCCAACAGCCCCTTCCTTCTTCCCTTGAAGACAACAGTTGTTCAATGTGCTGGGTATGAGGGGTCATCCAAAACCAAGGCACAGGCTTAAAGAGCCCACGGGTGCAAGGAAACGGAAGAGCAAACTAGTGAAGCGTCAGGCAACTCACCTCCCAACCAAGCATCTGTAATGGCGCCGATAAGAGAGGACCGTCCAGGGCATTCTTTCTGGGGTAACACACCAGTCTGATACGGAATATTTGTTCGGAACCCTACAACCACCAGGACCGAATGCCTTTGAGGGCTGCAGTGCCAGGCTTTGGGCCCTTCCTAGCACCCAAGAACATGCCTCTGACCCGCATGCCGGTGAGTGGACGACCAAGGCCCGGGACTGAGGCATGTCCCCCAGGGCTTTCCTCCCAGCTCTCCCCTCCTGCGACGTGATCAAGGAGACAGGCCTCACACCAGAACCAGAAGGCGGCTGACGCTGTCACAGAGCCGCCTCAGTGACTTCAAGGATAAGCCCCCAAGCCATCAGAATGAGGGAGATGCAGAGCTATTAATTTCCAGAAGCTGGAAAAGCTGACACCCCACCCCCCGCCATGTGACGTCACTAGGGGGGCTTCCAAGCTGGGTGACGGGCTCAGAGATGAGATCAGAGGCGTGAAGTCCATGCTGAGGGCTTGTAAGCCCAGCCCAGCGTCTTCTCCACCCTGAACTGCCAACAGTGTGAGCACAGGCCACCTGGAGACTTCCACCGGGAGACTGTCCCTCCTCTTACGTTACTGCACTTGCCGCCAATGCAGAACCAACAGGTGCTGAGCCCACAGCCACACAGTGAGGGACTGGCACTCAGCCTCACCTTTGACAGGAGCAGTTTCACACAGGAAATGTGGCCCTCGTAGACGGCAGACAGAAGAGGAGTGATATGATGCTTATCTGGAGCCTGGGGGGAGGGGGAGAGACAGACCCTGATTAATCACCTCAGTAGGGGACGCTTGCTAGTCTTTATCTTTCTATGCATCCCGAGGCCACTACAGGGTCTGGTCTGAGGTGTAGGCAGCGGCAGGGCCCCAGAGAGAACCCTGGCCTGGTGCTGTGCTGTGTAACTACTTATTTAGCAGCTCTCAACCTCCAGGAATTTCCTGTCTAAAAGCCTATGAGGTCCAGGCAGAGGACGGGAAAAACTCTGTCACACAGGCCAGCGGAGGGTGTGCCCAGATGGGAAAGCATCACTTCCCTTGCTGCCCAGGTGGCTTAAACCATCTTCCCCAGACCCTCAAACGTGGACGCTACACAAGGCTCTGACAGGAGCTATGAGCTCTGACCACACACCAGCTGGCCAGCTGAGAATGGCCATGTGCAGAGAGAGGCCTAGGCTCGGGTTGAGGACCTTGATCTGCACCTACAGAGCATGCGGGCCTCGCCCGAGTCAGCCCGGAGAAACCCCAATCCAGGGGCCCACCCGACCCTTCAGTCTGGCCAGCTAAAAGCAGAGTGTCTTCATCCTGCTGGCTTTCCGTCAACCCGACTGCATGCATTTAGGTTCTTTCACCAGCGTTCCTTCTGTCCAAAGTCTGTGTCCTTGGGTGACTTTTAAAGTCTGAGCTCTGTGCTGTTAAGGCCCAGCAGCCCTGAGACAATCAGATGGCACCCTTTGTTGTCCATGCCTTTACTGAGACACAATTCCCGCACGGCCTGCCCATGTCACACACTCAGGGATGAGCAGGCATCCCTTCAAGAGGAGACCTGGCCTTCAACTGTCACTGCCCCTCCCTCCACAGAGGGCCCCCGCCCACACCGTGTGCTTCTTGTTCTGTACCATGTTTTCAGTGGGCACGGAGTAATCACGTGCATCACCACTTCCGTTTTATGGCTGCATAGTGCTTTCTTGTAAGGCATTCTCCACATGGCGACCTACTTATCAGCCAAAGGGTATTAGACTCTTTCTGCCTTTTGGCTCTCCAGAACAGTGCTGTCCTAAACCACACAAACGGGTTATTGTGTAGACATAGCCTCCTCCTTTTTTAACTTCT